ATTATTTCACTTGATGTTACATACAAAACGTGGAAGATACTTCACCACCACTCAAATCGCAGTCGTCCAATAGCCATTGATTACGATCCAGTCGAGAAAAGAATCTATTGGACAGACGTTAGTTTAAGGCTTATTGCAAGTACTTTCATGAACGCCACATCAGTTAAAGTGGTTTTTTGGAAAAACGTCTTAGTTCCTGATGGTTTGGCAGTTGACTATTTGGGAAGAAACTTGTACTGGACAGACACGGGTACAAACAGGATTGAAGTAGGACGGTTGGATGGGAGCGCAAGGAAGACTCTCATTTATCAAAACCTTGATGAGCCTAGAGCTATTGCTCTCTACGCCGAAAGAGGGTAGGTATTCATTGACAGTTAGGAATCATCCCGAAAGCAAACCAAAGAAATCTAATAAAGTCACTGAAACGATAGCAAAAGACAGTCTTACGACAGCCTGTGGCATTTCAATTGTGACAGCCTGTAACAACTTGTGACACTTTATGACAAGAAGAGATAACTAGCTAAAAACTAGTGTGAGCTGCGTCGATGTTTCTAATGAAACAGTCATAAAATGTTAAAAGGGTAAATTATACGCCGTGAAAAGTTGTAAAAACTTACTGACGTTTTGGACGCTAGTCCTTCGTCGGAGCACTAAAGAGGGCTCTTTTGTTTTTTCATCTTTTCACGGTATTAAATTTACCCTTTATCATTACACTTTATGASAGTTTTTTAAAAACTCTAGTATCCTTGTTCTTGGTTCTCTCTTGTGATTCGAATTATCTTCCTCGGAAGTCTGCTAAAATGCACTTCAATCATGAAACCAGGCCAAAGCATAGTTAATAGATCTATTAACTATGGCCAAAGGTTTAGCCACTGGCACGTGACGTGACTGCTATTAAAAAGTCTATGATTATTAACTTTCTCGCATCTAAAAAGGCGTACGTATATGTATATTTTGCTTATATTATGTTGAATATCATAGAACTATGTACTGGACAGACTGGGGATCATTGCCCAAGATCGAAACATCATACATGGATGGAACTTCGCGTAGAGTACTGTTCAACACCAATCTCGTTTGGCCCAATGGTTTGACAATTGACAAGATCAATTCCAAGCTCTACTGGGCTGATGCCAGTCTTGATAAGATAGAGGAATCTGACCTTTCAGGATCAGGCAGAAGAGTACTGATCAGTCATTCCGGTATTCACCCATTTGGCCTTACACTATTCGATGGCGATCTCTACTGGACTGACTGGGCAAATAAAAGTGTCTATTCGTTGAATATCGTGAGCGTTAAACAACGACGTATTGCCTCTGGTATGGCAAAACCGATGGATATACACGCCTATAACAAGACCAGCTTACAGGAAGGTAATGGTCTCGAGCATCTTTCAAGGCAATATAGAACAAACTGTTTTTCAAAGATTAGGACGGCGCATTGTTGAAAACGCTTCAGCACAGTATTATTCTGTAATTATTCCAAGAGACAATAAAGGAGTGATTGATTACGCTAATGTAGACGCCCAAAATGCACAAAATACATATTGTCTAAATTTAACCTATGAGCTACGATAGTCTCTGATTGGTGCCCAAACGAGGTTCCCGTATGTATGTATGGTTCATATAAGGCGATGTATAGATTGCTTCTCTCGTGTTTTCTCAGAATCCCATGTTTTTAGACGAAAGTATCTAAAACTGAAAACGTCTTCACATTTTTTAAAACCTTTTTTTCCTGTCATTAGGAAGTAACAGTTGCAGTGTGTCCAATGGTGGTTGTAGTGATCTTTGTCTCCCAATTCCTAACGGTCGCACATGCGCATGTTCAGATGGCTCAAGTTTAAATATTAATGACCCAACTAAATGTGGTCAAGGTAGGTGTCTAAAGTAATTCTTCGAATTTAAAAAGAGCAATGACAAGTAATAGAAACATGCAGTTAGCAGAGTAATTTCCTGGGGGGCTAGGGTTAAGGTTAATGCTATTAAGGATGTCGCGTTTTTTTAAATGTCCGAGCTTTTACAGAAGTTTATCCGAAAATTTTATTCTCATGTTCATGCATTTCAGAACATTATTTAACTTATAATTGCATTTATCAACTTCTTCACTTACATCTGTAGAATTACGCATTATTCATTACTATGTACGTACAAGAAAACCTTTTTTTTTATTTGTCGATTATATGTTTGTTATAAATGTTAATCGCTTAATCTGTAGAAGTACGCAGTATTCATTAATATGTATAATTTTATGTACAAGGTTCTTTAATTTGTCAATTATATGGATTTTTTGTTTCAGTTTCTGCGGTAAACTGTTCAGCACCCAGAATCAGGCCGAACAGCTTCCTGGTAACACAACAATGTGGACGTCAGATCGGAGCTACATGTTCCTTTGCCTGCCAAAGTGGATACTCGTTTGTGGGTGGTAATACTACAATCACGTGTCAACAAAATGGTAATTGGTCTGGAGAAGGACCCACTTGTGAAGGTTTGTGATTAGCAGAGATGCTATCGTGCTACTTATAACTTTACCTGTCCCGCGTGCACATAAGGGATGCGCAGAAACAATGTCCACAAATGTCCGGATATATAAACAATTCCATCTTAGACGAGGAACTAAATTTAGTTTTGATTTTTCATGGCTAGATACACAAGCTCCTGTGTTCGCTTCTTGCCCTAAAGACATCTTGGTGTATGCTGAGAGAGGAAAAACTTCTTCCATGGTCAACTGGTCTGCACCCAATGCCACAGACAATTCTGGAGAAGCACCAAGCGTAACCCGAGTAACAGGATACTCACCTCCTGTTAGGCTGAACCAAGGAATTTATAACATGACCTATAGTGCAACAGATAGAGTGAATAATAAGGCGCTTTGCAGCTTCAAAATAACTGTACAAGGTAAGACTTTGTAYTTGACATTTCACGTCAGTAAATAGGAAACAAGTACAAGTTCTTTTTTTATGAGAAAAAAATTCATTTGAGTTACCAAATAAAAACATCCCGAATGTGTAAGCCGTACTTCAAATCCTATTTAATACCATTCAATTTAGATAAAATTTCAACAGACTTTAACTTTAGTCTTATGCAGTTTTTCCTTTCTTTCATCGATTTTAGTAATCAATTGCACATCTCAAAATGCTATTGGCGTTCTTCGAGTTACTGAATGCAACAACTATTATGGTGGAACTTGCAACTTTACCTGTCCCGTTGGCTACAGGTTAGTAGGCATGGCAATGCTGACGTGTTTTGCTACAAATGGAGGACCCCCAGGTGTGTGGAATGGAGCAGTTCCTACTTGCCAAGGTATGGTATAAATCTATCTTTTAGCAATTTTAGCCAAATGTTCCGGCCCTTCCAGTGCCTGCAAACGCCATCAGATCAGGATTTCTTTACGTTTTATCAACCAGCATAACCGCCAAATATTTTATGGTTTCATTTTCTAATGAATGGTTCTAAACTAATACGGCCTCATTGATAAGACGTAACTATATGACACATTTAGTGCATTGCAGTAATTCACTACCAAATAGCCCACTTCTGAGTTATGCTTCGCTTGTCTAGCACAAAGGATTTAATATGATGCTTCGTGCATAATGCTCATTGATTCGTGACAGGAGAAATGAATAAATTCAATTTAGCACTTAGCCTGGTACTGAAACATTTGTGCGTGACAAGCCAAGAATAACTCGGAAGTGGGCTATAGCATAAGCGATATGATTATAGAAAAAACCTTTGGAATAGTTGTTCAGAGTCGGATCATTTAGGAGCTATGTCCTTAGTAATAATGTATTGTTATTAAACATACAACAGCAAACAGTCAACAGCCTTACGTTTTCGTGTCAAACACGACAAACATCTTATCCGTTGGAGCCGATTTAACTTCCTCAACACCAGTCCTCCATAACCACAACCGCGCAGTAGCTGTAGATGTGCACGTAACCCGTGGACTTATATTCTGGAGTGATGTCGCGGATAAAAGAATTAAAAGAGCTAGCATTAATGGAAGTGATGTCAAAACCATTGTGAATTACTTCATTGGTGTCTGCGATGGATTGGCAGTGGACTGGACGTCGGATCTCATCTACTGGAGTGATACAACCTTGAATAACATAGAGGTTGCTCGTATTGATGGAACCAACAGAAGAACATTGATTTCTGACAATTTGGATGAACCCCGGGGAGTTGCAGTTGATCCACTGTCCAGGTACTAGATTAGCTAGCTGTAAAATGGGCTATATGATGCTTCAGTTGTTTCACAGCGCGCTAAGCTACTATAATTCTCATCTTTATGCTAGAGTAGCCGTAAGTTAACTTAATATCTTAGGAAATATTTGCAGTCCAAAGAAATAAGTTGTTGGGTCATTCCAACATCCAAACGAACAACATTTTGGGAAATACATCAAGTAATACAATTAGCAATAATTAAAGAAGAGTGCTTTCCATGGCTTTGTCAACTGAATGCATCAATGAAATTTGATCTTGGAATATGCTCTCACATCTCCTATATTTTGCGTCAGAAACCTTTTCTGAAAGTGTTTTATCCTGTGGTCACAAAACAGTTATCTGACACAAATGCAAATATAAAATTGAGGTTGTTTTTCTTCCACTTTCAAAATGTTCCATGCAGAAATTTAAACATTTTTACGATTATTTCTTCATGTAAAAGAGGCTTAATTGCGCAATTAATGTGCGTCATGGTTCATCTCACAATCAACAGACTCATTTTCTGGACAGACTGGGGAAAGGAGCCGAAAATTGAGCGTGCCTATCTTAATGGAAAAAACCGTAGAACAATCGTCAGTTCTTCACTGGGATGGCCCAATGATATCACACTGGACCATAGATATTACAAGATATACTGGGTTGATGCTCTGAATGACAAGATTGAATCTTCAGACTATTCTGGAAACCATCGCACGATGCTTTTTCATCGTCCAGGTATCCATCCGTTTGGAGTTGATTTATTGAGCACGTCCCTGTTCTGGACTGATTGGAGGACGATTCAGGGAGTACACAAGCTGGATTTGTCAACAGGAGCCGTACAGTCCAATGTCACCCTATCTGGAACAGCGATGGGCATAGCGGTTTTTGACACCTCTAGGCAGCCATCATGTAAGTGTTCTACATCTTCTAGTTCTAAAACACCAATATATCTTCCACAAAACAAATCTAAAAAAATAGGTGATATATTGACTGTTATCATGAATAACTCCTGAGTTGTTAAATTGCATTCCAAATGCCTGGACATTTAAAAATTGTTAACTATAATTCGATGTTGACAGCATTTTAAAGCCATTCGAAATATGCCTTATTGGAAATAGAAGGAAGAAAGAATCCGGGAAAATGCCTAGCTATTGGAGATCATATTTTAATATTTCTTGTTATAGACATATCACACTAAGGCCCAGGGCAAACGTCGGACTAACGTCGCACCGAACCTATTTAATATAGGTTCGGTGGAAGGCCGACTAAAGGGCCTACGTGGCGGCAAACGTCGAACCAATGTCGATCTTAATTCACTCCACCATTGTTATTATAATTTGAATTGGAGATGAAAATGCACGGGGGAACGCACGGACATTTGTTTGTCTTTTCCTGATTATCCTTGCAATGGCGAAATATAGCGCTCGACCAGAATTAAAACGGGCATTTATTTATATGGAATGCAGTACTACAAAACAGAAAACGGAGAATGGCATTGCATTCTGCACTTTTTGCCTGTTTTTCTTTTTTCTTTCTTTTTCTCCTCTCGCAGCATTCACACTACGCAACTCTTTTGCCCGCCGTCCTGCCGTCCAGTCTTGCTCATTATCGTTTCTCTCGAATACAGCACATTTATTGCAGGTCGGCATCTTCCAAACCAGGCAAACAAATTTCGTTTGGTCAAAACAAAAACTATAGCAAGACTCAAGAGTCTCGTCTCGTGGCAAGGATTTTCTAAACGCGGACATGTTTAGTTTAAGAGTATTTTTGAATTTATTTTCGTGTTCTTGGTCTCGTTCATCACTCATCTTTGTATAGCGCATGCTCGCCAGGAGGGAGTATGAGTGTTTGGGAGGTTGGGGAGTGGTTGTTTTCACGGCTTTGGTGTACGTCATGCGACTTGCATGATTGACTTACTAATTTGCATACTTTATGAATTCAGTTCGGCACGTGTTTAAAACGGCGTTTGCCGCAGAGTCGCTCCAGAGTCGTAATGTCCGACTTGGCTTGTCGAACTTATGCTGGACTCGAACCTATTCAACAGGGTCGTTCTCAATTGCAGCAAACGTCGTACTAGGCATGAACCTATTTAAAATGTAATAAGTTCGACTAAATTAAGCTCATGGTTAGTTCGACGTTTGCCCTGGGCCTTAATGAATCTAATGGACCCCATTATCAGCTTCAATCATGTGCAAAAATGGCTCTTTATGCAAACTTGCCATTCGTATTCGGCAGCGGCAGCTCCACACCAAACCAAAAATGACGTCCGTTCATAACATCAGATTCACTTTAGCTGATTCTAGCAAAACCGTTTTTTAATGGTTGCAAAAAATTGCTTTTTTCTTAGCAATCAATTCCTGTCAGCAAAATAACGGTGGCTGTAGTCATCTGTGTTTGTTAACACCCAGTGGTTATGATTGCGCATGTCCAACCGGATACGGTCTTGGATCAGACGGGAGAACATGTAACACGTGTAAGTAGATATATACCTACTTGTAAAAGGGTTTCCCAATTGCATGGGAACGTTTTAATATAATGATTTCCGAGGCCTCAAATGAAGGAAAAATGAAAGTTAAAGTAGGTCGAAGATATAGTTTAAGTTGTTGTTGTTATTGTTGTTATTGTTGTTGCTGTTGTCGTTGTTGTTATTGAGCTTGAGCTTGAGCTTTACCGAGGCATGCGTAAATTCAGACAAGATATGGTTATTGTCATCTCAATTGGTTGTTCTGGCAAAAAAGTGTTGTTGCTTTTAGGAGAGGGTACAAAAAGCCAAAAGATCTTTTGTTTTTGTATATAGCATTAAGAAATTAAGTAGGGGGTATATAGTTATGAGAACCGGCTTTGAGTTTGGCTGGTTACCCCAGAAATAAATGCCTTATGCAAGCCCATGCATAAGTACTTGGTCAGAACAGGCCAAGTGGTATAAACTAATATCCTAGAAACGACTTCGTGTTATTTGATGAAGATATTATCGTTTTCTTTTCAGATATCGAGAGGTTCATCATTTTCACCGATGCCGATATGCAAACCACGAACATTATTTCACTTGATGTTACATACAAAACGTGGAAGATACTTCACCACCACTCAAATCGCAGTCGTCCAATAGCCATTGATTACGATCCAGTCGAGAAAAGAATCTATTGGACAGACGTTAGTTTAAGGCTTATTGCAAGTACTTTCATGAACGCCACATCAGTTAAAGTGGTTTTTTGGAAAAACGTCTTAGTTCCTGATGGTTTGGCAGTTGACTATTTGGGAAGAAACTTGTACTGGACAGACACGGGTACAAACAGGATTGAAGTAGGACGGTTGGATGGAAGCGCAAGGAAGACTCTCATTTATCAAAACCTTGATGAGCCTAGAGCTATTGCTCTCTACGCCGAAAGAGGGTAGGTATTCATTGACGGTTAGGAATCATCCCTAAAGCAAACCAAAGAAAGCTAATGAAGTCACTGAAACGATAGCAAAAGACAGTCTTACGACAGCCTGTGGCATTTCAATTGTGACAGCCTGTAACAACTTGTGACACTTTATGACAAGAAGAGATAACTAGCTAAAAACTAGTGTAAGCTGCGTCGGTGTTTCTAATGAAACAGTCATAAAATGTTAAAAGGGTAAATTTTACAACGTGAAAAGTTGTAAAAACTTACTGACGTTTTGGACGCTAGTCCTTCGTCGGAGCTAAAGAGGGCTCTTTTACTCCGACGAAGGACTAGCGTTCGAAACATCAGTAAGTTTTTTCATCTTCTCACGGTATTAAATTTACCCTTTATCATTACACTTTATGACAGTTTTTTAAAAACTCTAGTATCCTTGTTCTTGGTTCTCTCTTGTGATTCGAATTATCTTCCTCGGAAGTCTGCTAAAATGCACTTCAATCATGAAAACAGGCCAAAGGTTTAGCCACTGGCACGTGACGTGACTGCTATTAAAAAGTCTATGATTATTAACTTTCTCGCATCTAAAAAGGCGTACGTAAATGTTTATTTTGCTTATATTATGTTGAATATCATAGAACTATGTACTGGACAGACTGGGGATCATTGCCCAAGATCGAAACATCATACATGGATGGAACTTCGCGTAGAGTACTGTTCAACATCAATCTCGCTTGGCCCAATGGTTTGACAATTGACAAGATCAATTCCAAGCTCTACTGGGCTGATGCCAGTTTTGATAAGATAGAGGAATCTGACCTTTCAGGATCAGGCAGAAGAGTACTGATCAGTCATTCCGGTATTCACCCATTTGGCCTTACACTATTCGATGGCGATCTCTACTGGACTGACTGGGCAAATAAAAGTGTCTATTCGTTGAATATCGTGAGCGGTAAACAACGACGTATTGCCTCTGGTATGGCAAAACCGATGGATATACACGCCTATAACAAGACCAGCTTACAGGAAGGTAATGGTCTCGAGCATCTTTCAAGGCAATATAGAACAAACTGTTTTCAAAGATAATAATAATAATAATAATATTTATTTATAAAGCGCAAATACAAATCTGTTCTAAGCGCTAGTAAACAAACGACAAAGACAACGACAAAATAAAATAATTTACAAAGAATATGCTAATTTGAAGAGATAAGTTTTAAGTTCAGTTTTGAACGAGGCAAGACTTGATGCATTTCGGAGAGATATTGGAAGTGAGTTCCAGAGTTCAGGAGCAGCCACAGAGAAGGAGCGATGACCATAAGATTTAAGATTATAAGAATGTGCTGATAGAAGAACTTGTGATGCAGAACGAAGATTACGGTTCGGTTTATAAGATTAGGATGGCGCATTGTTGAAAACGCTTCATTACAGTATTGTTTTGTATTATGCCAAGAGACAATAAAGGAGTGATTGATTACGCTAATGTAGACACCTAAAATGCACAAAATACATATTGTCTAAATTTACCCAATGAGCTACGATAGTCGTGATTGGTGCCCAAACAAGGTTCCCGTATGTATGATTGGTTCATATAAAGCGCTGTATAGATTGCTTTTCTCGTGTATTCTCAGTATCCCAAGTGTTTAGACGAAAGTACCTAAAACTGAAAACGTTTTCATATTTTTTTAAATCTATTTTCTCTGTCATTAGGAAGTAACGGTTGCAGTGTGTCCAATGGTGGTTGTAGTGATCTCTGTCTCCCAATTCCTAACGGTCGCACATGCGCATGTTCAGATGGCTCAAGTTTAAATATTAATGACCCAACTAAATGTGGTCAAGGTAGGTGTCTGAAATAATCCTTCGAATTTAAAAAGAGTAATGACAAGTAATAGAAACATGCAGTTACCAGAGTAATTTCCTGGGGGGCTAGAATGACGGTTAATGTTATTATCGCGTTTCTTCAGATGTCCAAAGTTTGCAACTTTACTTAATCTGTAGAAGTACGCAGTATTCATTAATATGTATAATATTATGTACAAGGTTTTTTAATTTGTCAATTATATGGATTTTTTTGTTTCAGTTTCTGCGGTAAACTGTTCAGCACCCAGAATCAGGCCGAACAGCTTCCTGGTAACACAACGATGTGGACGTCAGATCGGAGCTACATGTTCCTTTGCCTGCCGAAGTGGATACTCGTTTGTGGGTGGTAATACTAAAATCACATGTTATCAAAATGGTACCTGGTCTGGAGAAGGGCCCATTTGCGCAGGTATGACTTTCCAGTGGGGCCACCTCGCACATTTGATTCCTTAAAATAGCAACAATTATTTGGCATTGGCATTTGAAACATAAACTAATGCTTTAAAAACTGTTGAAACCTAGCCCATCGAATAATAGTACAGATAATGAAATATAAGAAATAAAATATAGCATGGCGCATTATAGTTCGTTAAGCGCTTATGCTATAACTATCTCTTTAACATAACATGCTATTGTGTTGTACATGTAATTACAAATTGGCGGCGTGTACTCCTTTAATACCATTTACGATCTCAATCGAGTTCAAAGCTCTCAGTCTACAACACGTTGCATCACTAACATTGCTTTTTCTCGATTAAATAAGGTGCTGCTCTTTCTTTTTCGGTCTCAATCGAGTTCAAAGCTCTCAGTCTGCAACACGTTGCATCTGTGACTAACGCTGCTTTTTTTATCATCCCTCAGTAATTAATTGCACAGCTCCAAATGTTGTTGGCGCTGTCCGGGTTACTGGGTGCAACACCAATAACGGGGGCACTTGCAACTTTACCTGTCCCGTTGGCTACAGGTTAGTAGGCATGGCAATGCTGACATGTTTGGCTACAAATGGAGGACCCCCTGGCGTGTGGAATGGAGCAGTTCCTACTTGCCAAGGTAAGTGTGACAAGACTTTATAGATCAGCTTTTGTGTTACTCTGAATACGTCGGTGCCAAAAGCGTGCCTTAAACGTAACCTTAATTGGATGGCGAGTAAATTCTGGTGCACTGTGATTGCTCTGGCAGCGCGGTGTCCTTAGAATGAACGTGTCCGCGACGTGTTCAAGCCGTGTTTCGAGTATTTGATTGAATGGCGAGTAAATTCTCGTGCACTGTGATTGGTCTGAGGAATGCCTTGCCGATTTATTACCGTGTTCGTGCGGTTAGCTTTTCACAGTCATACGAAAATTGATCTGAATAAGTTTAATGGTGCACGTACTGATCTGTTGCACTGGTTAATCGCAACTTTGTGCAGAATAGTTTATGTATTGTTAAGCTATGTGAAATGACAATCGATTGTATTGTTCAATTCGTGTACTCTTGTATGTATTTGAGAAGATTTTGACGCTTAAATAAGGTTACTCTGAGAAAATAAAATACATTGAAGACTAAGACAGCGGATATTGGCAAGTTTACTAGTGATAGGTGACTAGTAATGTATGAGGAAACAGAAATATCTCCTAAAGTTACATGCTAAACGGAGTACTGAATTTAGTTTTTATTTCCATTGCTAGATACACAAGCTCCTGTGTTTGTCTCTTGTCCTCGAGACAGCTCGGTGTATGCTGAGAGAGGAAAACTCTCTTCCGTGGTCACCTGGGCTGCACCCAATGCCACAGACAATTCTGGCGAAGCACCAAACATAACACGAGTAACAGGGTACTCACCTCCTGTCAGGCTGAACCAAGGAACTTATCGCGTAACTTACAGTGCAACAGATAGATCCAATAATAAAGCGCTTTGCAGCTTTATGATTTCTGTACGAGGTAAGACTTTGATTTTAACATTTGACGTCCGTTAACAAAAAAAATATTTGGGCTTCTGAATAAAAACATTCTGAATGTGCAAGCCGTAGTTACTATCAATTCTATATAATAACATTCCATGCAAATTAAATTTCAACAAACTTCAATTTTAGTGTTATGCAGTTTTTCCTTTTATCGATTTTTTAGCAATTAACTGCACATCTCAAAATGCTGTTGGCGTGCTTCAAGTTACTGGTTGCAACAACTATTTCGGCGGCACTTGCAACTTTACCTGTCCAGTTAACTACCGTTTGGTTGGCATGGAAACGCTGATGTGTTTGGCTACAAATGGTGGACCCCCTGGTGTGTGGAATGGAGCCGTTCCTACTTGCGAAGGTATGTTATGAATATTCAATAAGCCTATCGTGAAGGGAATAACAACTGAGATGCAGTTTCACTTTACAGCCATCACATGTCCAGCCCTTCGTGTACCTGCAAACGCCAGCAGATCTGGATGTAGTGGCTCAGTAAATGAGAGAGTTGGTACTATATGTCAGTTTCAATGTATCCATGGTTACAGGCCATTTGTAGTGGTATCAAGAACCTGTCGACAAAATGGAACTTGGAGTGGTAGTGATCTTTCATGTTCTGGTAAGTACTAGTTGACTGACTAATATGAATGTGGTCGTCTAATTTTAAATTACTTTGACAGTAATAACCGTTTTAAATAACCCCTGTTTGTTTTGGTGACGGGTCCCAGCCCCACAGCTTCCTATTTAATAATACTCACATGTGACTATTCCAATTATTTCAGCTGTAATGTGTCCTCCACTTACGAAACCTATCCACGGAACATTAACACCAGCGTCATGTCTTCAGTACAGTCACTACGGCAGTGTATGTACTCTTTCATGCGACAATGGATTCCAAATTGGAGGCACTACCTCTCGTACATGTACGTCCAATAGTATCTGGACGGGACAGAATGACACTCGTTGTGAAGGTACATTTTTATTTTTCACTTGTTTATCTTAAGTTATCAAGTCACAATCATTCACTTTCCTTTTCTCATACGATTTTGAATTATTTTTGTAAATTCTGATCAAAAGCTCAATGTCTATCAAAACTGGTAGTACGAAACGCGGTCAGAAATAGGGAAATCACATCCAATTAAATCGAGGGAGTGCTAACATTGGTTGTTTTCCTTTTACTTACAGACATAACTCCACCAACATTTTCGGCGTCCTGTCCTAATAATAAGGTCTATGACCTTGACCAATGTTCTAACAATATAACAGTGAACTGGACCATACCCACTGCCAAAGACAACTCCGGTGTTGTAAGGATTGTTGATCCAAGCCACGGTCCGCCATTGACATTATTTTCTGGTGTTTACACTATCAATTATACAGCCATTGATCCAACTGGTAACACTAAGCGATGCTCATTTAAAATACAAGTGAACAGTAAGCAAAATTGACTACGAAGATATAATAGAAATAATTGTGTGATTTTGTGCTATATTATTTGATTCGTTGGTTGATTTGCTTGGTCGGTTGGATGCATGAATTTTTTGACGGATGCACAGTTGAAGGGATCGATTGGTGGATGGATGGATAAATGTGAGGATGAATGGTATGGTATATGGCAACATATGGTATGGCATTGGCATGCGGTTGCATAGCATGCGATGGATGGATGGATGGTTTCAGGTGGAAAAATTTTTATATTAAAATAATTTTAAATATTTCTATATAATATAATTAAAACTATATATATTATTTTACATATTATATATTGAAAACCTAATTTTAATTTGCTTCCAGAACACGTGTGCAGACATCCTACAAATCCAGTCAACGGGTTCTTAACATCCCTAACATGCAATAATGTGTATGGATCTGTAGCGACCTTTTCCTGTCGAAGTGGATACACTATAAGTGGATCCAGAACACGTTCTTGTTTGTCCAGTGGTCAATGGTCAGGTGTATACACGACATGTAGGAGTAAGTATTCTATTAAGAAAAGGTACAAGTGGCTGGGCTATAGGTTCAAGCACTAGGGGTTGACCATTAAGTTTTTAAAATTTACTATACATCGTGGGCCTTATAGTATGAAAACTTCATCAGAAAACATCACTCTATGTACTTGAGATTTTCTTTGAATTATCTCTCTAAGTTCAGAATAGGTCCGGATAGAAAAAAATAAAATATATGTTTTTGTTAATCTTCTTCTTCTTATTTTTTTGCCATTCATTTCAAAGGAGTAACTTGTCCCGCTTTAAGTCCCCTCAATTTTGGGACTATCGAGCCACCGAATTGCCATACTGGTTTGCCTGTGGTTTCTGGAACCTGGTGTCTCTTCAAGTGTAACTTGACAAACGGCTACAAAAATGTTGGTCCTGACAGAACTACCTGCATTCAGAATGGGACTTGGTCTGAAGATGTTAGCAAGATATCTTGTCAAGGTATACCTGTATCAACGATCATTATTCATACAAGCCACAAAAGAACCCTAGTAGATGCTTTTATTTAGAAAGGGTTAATCCTTTCAGACAATTGTGTCATCAACGTGAGCTCTAAAAGCCTTTGTATGTGTGGCCTTACAAACATAAAAAAATTATAATGCCAAAATTGTTACTATTTTCTATAGATCATGTACCACCTTCACTACGCTGCCCACAGGACACCAAACTTGCCACAGACCCTGGTAAAGACGTTTCTACCTTTTACTGGACAATCCCTACACCGACAGACAACTCTGGCGATCAGCCTAGTCTTACTGTCAAACCAGATGGAATTGCTCCACCTTACGAGTTTCCTGTGGGGAACACAATGGTGGAATATACAGCTAAAGATTCATCAAACTTGAAAACAAGATGCTCTTTTACAGTTACAGTCCGAGGTAACAGGCATATGCGCTTAGATATTATTATTATTATTATTATTATTATTATTATTATCATCATCATCATTATTATCATCATTATCATCATCATTATTATCATTATCATTATCTATATTATATTATATCATATTTTCTTATTTTTTTAATTAAATGTTTTTGATGCATAGATCGAGGATTATCAGGAAAATACAAAAGAAATAGCACAACTTCTATCCAGAAACGGTGCATCTTCCTTCGAATTTTCCAGGCTGTTCGCCCAATGCTAGACTTTAATCCGAGAAAATTTTGGAAGTAGTCTACCTTGATTTCTTCTTAAAATTCGTATTAAATATTTCATTTAGATATCTATAAATTTCATTTAAATATCTATAAACGTCAACCAAAAGAGTTCTAAAGTTGTTTCTGCCAATATTTCAAAAACGTATCTAAATTTTAGATAAGGAAGCTCCAACGAAGGTGTACTGTCCTCCTGATTTTGAAGTTACCAGCGACAAGACGTCTACTGAAGTTTATTTTCCTCGAGCAAAATTCGTAGACAACGTTGGTGTGACAAGAATCATTACTGATCGATACAATGGGTCAAAGATGTCTTATGGAGAACATAACGTGACTTACACAGCATATGATCGGGCAGGAAACACCGCAACATGTGTAATAAAGATAACTGTATCATGTAAGTAATACCGGATAATGATGAGTTACAAGAGAAAAAAAGACAGTTATTGTTCCAGCAGTAGTTCATTTAGAAGTTTATCAAAAATGAAGGCAAGGTTTGTGGAGAATATGTCTCCTGTTTGCCATGCGCATGAAAATTGGATAGCTGGGGCAATTTGGGGCACTTCCAGTCAAACAAATAGGTTCTCAAATGGTGTACGTACACGTCATTTCTTAGAACTGGTTCGGGTCAGGTTGGTCCAGTTCTTAAGCTGCCGTGTACAATTTGAGGAGTGGCCGCTTGGACCGATCGGTTTGAATTAAATGGAAAGCGCCCCTAGACTTTGCATGACTATTTTATCTTTTTTGTAATATTTTGCAGCAATTTCATGTGAGAAACCAGAGCATCCCAAACATGGAGCACTTAGCTGTCTCACTTTAACTGGTGGAATGTACTGTACGGTCCATTGCTTTAAAGGCTATGTATTTCCTGTGCAAAATCCCTTACAAATTTGCACTAACAAAGGAAAGTGGATAACGAAAAAAGTTCCTGATTGTAAAGGTATTACATTAACTTTACAAAGGCATTAAATAGGCCAAGGCTATGTCTTTGTTTGATCTAACAGCCAAAGGATCAAGTGCAACATAGTTTCACTTTTTTTTTTACTTGCATACATTGACATGGCTTTCTTTTTTCTCTGCATTGAGCTTTTTCTTATCTGTATCTCCCCTTTCCTACCTATAAATAATGACTGATGCCTAATTATAAAAAATCTGTTTATTTTAGAACCACAAATAGCAAAGGTCACCCTCGAAGGAATTGTACATTACATAGCAAAGCAATGCGAAAGCAGGAAAGAGGCCATACGAAAGCAATTTATGGCAAAGATGCAAAAACATTATATGGCTAACATGCACTGCAAGTCAGATACAAATCTGTGTAAGTTAAAGAAGATAGAAGTAACTTGCAGGAAGGCGCGTAAACGAAGAAGCGTGGATGAAAATGACCGGGTTGACATATCCTTTGAAATGGAACTTCCATTGGTAAAAAATGCCTCAGCTGATTTGAACAAAACCGTGGCTGAATTGAAATCTTCTGTAATGGAGACTATAAACAAAAGTGTGTCAAAATTGGAAGTCGATGGCCAAGTCATCACACTGGACAAATCTTCTCCAAGTACATTGAAGTTTGTAAGCTTATCCTGTGAACCAGGACAAGTGCTGAAAGACGCTGTTTGTGGCAAGTATACAGTATATTTTAGAAATACTCACGATAAGTGGTTAGCTAGCTGACCAAATAATGACAAATAAAGAGCTTTTAGTCCGCACGGAATACAGGTCAGGAGAAATTCTAAATAATGAAGGACGACTTAGGTTACTGATTTAGCACACATTAGCTCTTAAAAGAAATTTGAAATTCCTTTCAAATAATCGAATGTTGCTAAAGGCAACAAGTTTAAATTTCCAAATTTAAGAAGATAAATAGGCCTAATGTTATTAACAAGTCATTCGGTCTTTCCAGCAAAGACCAGGTCTTACCTTCTCTCCTATTATATCTGCACTCTTTCTTTTTCCTGACCATTTTTTAAATTTAAAATTCTTAAGTCTTTTTGACAATACAAAGATCGCCATGTTGCTAAAAGGCCTTAAAAGCACTGGTTCCACATTCAATTATGGGTCTGTAGAAACATTTCATATATATATTTGCCTATGTATTTTAATGAACAAATCATTTTGAGCCATATGTTGAAACTCAATTCGTTATATTTTGTTATCCAGTTAATAATGCCTTTGTTTTTTCATCTTGTATCAGTTAAGTGTCCCTCTGGTTACTTCATGTCTTTGACCACCAAATCTTGTTCCCCGTGCCCTGCCAATCAGTATCAAGAACTTGAAGGCGAGACATCATGTAAAACCTGCCCATCCGGGACATCAGGCGCTGAGGGAGAAATCGGATCCACATCTAATCAATCTTGCTTGAAAGGTATGTGATAGGACTACCAGCTACCATCAAAATTGTTTGATTCAAGGTAAGGTTCCATGGGAACAAAATAATAGCCATTTTTTACGTAATATGCTTACTTATGTCGGTTTCGTATCCTAGACTGATCCACCCTCATACATTTTCTTTTCTTTTAAAATAGTAATAATTGCTATATTCAGGCTCGTTGCTAGGACCTTAAAAGGGAAGGTTCGTTTTCTACCAATCTTAGTTATGCCATATATTTGATAAACATTTTATTGCGTTCTTGAATCTTTTTGCATTGTTTTTTTTTTTTTTTTTTTTTTTTTTTTTTTTTTTTTTTTTTTTTTTTTTTTGTTTTTTGTTTGTTGTTGTTGTTGTTGTTGTTGTTGTTGTTTTGTATGGGGGGAGGCTTGTTTTCACCATCGAACCTGATATAACACAATTTATTTTGGTTTTTTAATATCTATTAATAGAGAGTACAATTTTATGATACTTTATGATTTCTTGTTTTTTGCTACACAGATCGAGGAACAGGATCACCAACGACCATGATTGCTGCAATAGTCGTAAGCTTAGTTGTGGCTATATTGTTGGCTATGTTGATATGGATACTCAAACGTCGCCAGTGGTGAGTAAACAAATACACAATGTAATCATTAATGAAATGCCTAAGAATTAATGTTAATTGCATCTAACAATATTGGGGGAACGGAGCGGGTTAGGGGATCTTGGAAATCTGGAGAATTTGACATCAGAATGCAGCAGAAAAAAATAGCCTTTCGACATATCTATTTAAAATTCCAGAAAATGGCAATTGTTATCTACGATTCTCGTGCAGCGTAGGTTTCTGATTGGCTACACTACCCAAAGTTGGAATGTATTCTTTTCATCCTACATTTTACTTGGTTCTCTTGTCTATAACTGGTCTAAGAGGCCCCGGTTACAGAAGTTGCACTGTAATATATTTTTAAGTCAAAACATACTTTCCGTCTTCCATATTCTAAAACTCTCCCCTTTACCCTACTCTTAGGAAAGTGCTTCAGTGTGTTGGGATTTTTCAGTATTCATTCAATACTTTTTCGTCTTTTTATTCCAGTATCTGCCGCAAGGGGCCTTCAGAAATCAAAGAAGGCCGTCAGCGTATAGTGTATGGACCTAAAGCAAAGGAAGAGTATGCGGGACCTAGTATCTTAAATCCAACTTATGAAGAGTGTCATGTTTACGCTGAAATAGGGGATCCAAGACCCATGTACGCAAACCTTGATGACGACATATTCCTAAGTAAAAATATGGCCTTGAGATTTGAAAACGGAGCTTCATTTAATAACCAAGGATTTCGTATGGACTCTCAAGCCTGAATTAAAAGGTTAACTGGAGTCAAACCAAATGTAAGCCGTTTCCATGATAGTGTCATTTTACCTCAACCTTGGTGCTTTGGAAGTTTCTTAAATTCTAATATTTCTCAATGGAAAAAGTAATCAAGGCAACTGACGCTTAGGTTAATAACACAAAAGGAAGTAATGGAAGTAGTATGTGACGCAATATATCGGGACTAGAGTCTTAGTAAACATTGCAAAATGCAACGCAGTGCAACACATGCGATTTGAAAGAAAGAGTATTAACCACTACTCTGCACTGCTAGACCTTGTAAGCTTCGTTGTTTGTTGTGCACATTTCGGACCAAGTGATGTCACTCTTGGGAGTTGATTCTTTCATATGTAAATATTTTTAAAAATTCGTTAAAACCCCAATTCTCAAAGAAGTGTCATGTGATCTGAAATAGACAATACCAAAACAAAGCTAAAAGAGCACATTTCATATTGTAAAATAATAAATAATAAACGATAAATATTAATCATTTTTGGTCATTTTCGATCAAAACCAAGTGAATATAGCCCATGTTTTTTACCGATTTATACCCATTTTCATACCTTTTGGAACATATAAATCATTAATAAAGGAAAAAAATTCAATCATTTTTGCCCATTATGGGGCACGAAGAGCATGGACTATAGCCTATGATTTTGACCGATTTTCAGACCTTTTGGAAATATATGTGTCATTAATAAAGATTGCAGATTTCATCATTTCTGGCCTATTTGCGGCAAAAAGCATGGACTATAGCCCATGGTTCTTATCAATGTTGACCGATTTTCACACCTTTTGAAAAAATATGAGTCATTAATAAACAGTGCAAATTCCATCATTTTTGGCCATTTTATGGTAAAAAGCATGGACTATAGCCCATGGTTCTTACGGATTTTGACACATTGTCACACTTTTTGGAAAAATATGAGTCATTAACAAAGCGCGCAATTTCCATCATTTTTGGCCATTTTGGGGCAGAAAGCATGGATTATAGCTCATGGTTTTGACCAAATTTCACCGATTTTCAAACCTTTTGTAAAAATATGAGTTATTAATAAAAGGTGCAATTTCCATCATTTTTCTCCATTTTTCGGTAAAAAGCATGGACTATAGACCATGATTTTGATCGATTTTCACACCTTTTGGAAAAATTTGAGTCATTAATAAAGGGTGCAAATTCCATTGTTTTTTTTCCATTTTGGGGCAATAAGCATGGATTATAGCCCGTGTTTTTTTTGGATTTTGACAGATTTTCACACCTTTTGAAAAAATATGAGTCATTTAAAAAGGTGCAAATTCCATCATTTTTGCCAATTATGAGGCAAAAAGCATGGACTATAGCCCATGGTTTTTACGGATTTTAACACATTGTCACACTTTTTGGAAAAATATGAGTCATTAACAAAGCGTGCAATTTCCATCATTTTTGGCCATTTTGGGGCAAAAAGCATGGATTATAGCCCATGTTTGTGTCCGATTTTAACACATTGTCACACATTTTGGGAAAATATGAGTTATTAATAAAAGGTGCAATTTCCATCATTTTTCTCCAATTTGCGGCTAAAAGCATGGACTATAGACCATGATTTTGACCGATTTTCACACCTTTTCGAAAAATTTGAGTCATTTATAAAGGGTGCAAATTCCATGGTTTTTTTTCCATTTTGGGGCAATAAGCATGGATTATAGCCCGTGTTTTTTTTTGGATTTTGACAGATTTTCACACCTTTTGATAAAATATGTGTCATTTAAAAAGGTGCAAATTCCATCATTTTTGTCCATTTTGGGGCAAAAAGCATGGACTATAGCTCATGGTTTTGACCGATTTTCACCGATTTTCACAATTTTTAGAAAAATATGTGTCATTAAAAAGTGGTGCAATTTCCATCATTTTTGACCATTTTGGGGCGAAAAGCATGGACTATAGCTCATGGTTTTGACCGATTTTCACACCTTTTGGAAAATTTTGAGTCATTTATAAAGGGTGCAAATTCCATGGTTTTTTTTCAATTTTGGGGCAATAAGCATGGATTATACCCCTTTTTTTTTCTTTTTTTTTTTGGATTTTGACAGATTTTCACACCTTTTGATAAAATATGAGTCATTTAAAGAGGTGCAAATTCCATCATTTTTGACCATTTTGGGGCAAAAACCATGGACTATAGCTCATAGTTTTGACCGATTTTCACCGATTTTCACAATTTTTGGAAAAATATGTGTCATTAAGAAAGGTGCAAATTCCATCATTTTTGACCATTTTGGGGCAGAAAGCATGGACTATAGCTCATGGTTTTGACCGATTTTCACCGATTTTCACACCTTTTGTAAAAATATGTGTCATTAATTAAGACTGCAGATTTCATCATTTTTGGCCATTTTTCGGCAAAAGGCATGGACTATAGCCCATGGTTTTTACGGATTTTGACAGATTTTCACAATTTTTGGAAAAATATGTGTCATTAAAAAGAGGTGCAATTTCCAACATTTTTGACCATTTTGGGACGAAAAGCATGGAGTATAGCTCATGGTTTTGAACGATTTTCACACCTCTTGTAAAAATATGTGTCATTAATAAATATTAAATATTTCATCATTTTTGGCCTATTTGCGGCAAAAGGCATGGATTATTGCCCATGGTTTTTTCCGATTCTGACACATTGTCACACATTTTGGGAAAATGTGAGTCATTAATAAAAGGTGCAATTTTCATCATTTTTGGCCATTTTGGGGCAAAAAGCATGGACAATAGTCCATAGTTTTTATCAATTTTGACAGATTTTCACACCTTTTGTAAAAATATGTGTCATTAATAAAGGGTGTAAATTCCTTCATTTTTGGCCATTTTGGGGCAAAAAGAATGGACTATAGCTCATGGTTTTTATCAACTTTCACAGACTTTCAAACCTTTTGTAAAAATATGTGTCATTAATAAAGGGTGCAAATTCCATCATTTTTTGCCGTTTTGGGGCAAAAAGCATGGACTATAGCTCATGGTTTTGATCGATTTTCTCCGATTTTCACACTTTTTGTAAAAATATGTGTCATTAATGAAGAGTGCAAATTCTATCATTTTTGCCCATTTTGGGACAAAAAGCAAGGGCTATACTTCATGGTTTTGACCGATTTTCACCGATTTTCACAGTTTTTGGAAAAATATGTGTCATTAAGAAAGGGTGTAAATTCCATCATTTTTTGGCCATTTTGGGGCAAAAAGCATGGACTGTAGCTCATGGTTTTGACCGATTTTCACCGATTTTCACACTTTTTGGAAAAATATGTGTCATTAAAAAAGGTGCAAATTCCATCATTTTTTGCCATTTTGGGGCAAAAAGCATTGACTATTGCACATGATTTTGACAAATTTCCTTCGATTTGCAGACCTTGTGTAAAAATATGTGTCATTAATAAACGGTGCAGTTTCCATCATTTTTGGCCACTTTGGGGGAAAAAGTATGGACTATAGCTTATGGTATGACCGATTTTCACCGATTTTCACACCTTTTGTAAAAATATGTGTCATTAATAAAGATTGCAGATTTCATCATTTTTGGCCTATTTGCGACAAAAGGCATGGACTATAGCCCATGGTTCTTATCAATTTAGACAGATTTTCACACCTTTTGAAAAAATATGAGTCATTAAAAAAGGGTGCAACTTCCATCATTTTTGCCATTTTGGGGAAAAAAGCATGGACTATAGTCCATGGTTTTGACCGATTTTCACCGATTTCCACACCTTTTGCAAAAATATGTCTCAGTAATAAAGGGTGCAAATTCCATCATTTTTGGCCATTTTGGGATAAAAAGCATGGACTATAGCCCATGGTTTTGACCACTTTTCACCGATTTTCACAGTTTTTGGAAAAATATGTGTCATTAATAAACGGTGCAGTTTCCATCATTTTTGGCCACTTTGGGGCAAAAAGTATGGACTATAGCTTATGGTATGACCGATTTTCACCGATTTTCACACCTTTTGGAAAAATATAATTCACTATTAAAAGGGTGTAAATTCTATCATTTTTGGCTATTTTGGGGCAAAAAGCATGGACTATAGTCCATGGTTTTTATCAATTTTGAGAGATTTTCACACCTTTTGAAAAAATATGAGTCATTAAAAAAGGTTACAAATTGCATCATATTTCACCATTTTGGGGCAAAAAGCATGGACTATAGTTCATGGTTTTGACCGACTTTCACCGATTTTCACACCTTTTGTAAAAATATGTGTCATTAATAAAGATTGCAGATTTCATCATTTTTGGCCTATTTGCGGCAAAAGGCATGGACTATAGCTCATGGTTCTTATCAATTTAGACAGATTTTCACACCTTTTGAAAAAATATGAATCATTTAAAAAGGTGCAAATTCCATCATTTTTTGCCGTTTTGGGGCAAAAAGCATGAACTATAGCTCATAGTTTTCTCCGATTTCCACCGATTTTCACACTTTTTGGAAAAATATGTGTCATCAAAAAAGGGTGTAAATTCCATCATTTTTGGCCATTTTGGGGCAAAAAGCATGGACTATAGCTCATGGTTTTGACCGATTTTCACACTTTTTGGAAAAATGTGTCATTAAGAAAGGGTGCAAATTCCATCATTTTTTGCCATTTTGGGGCAAAAGGCATGGAATATAGCTCATGGTTTTCACCGATTTTCATCGATTTTCACACTTTTTGTAAAAGTATGTGTCATTAATAAAGGGTGTAAATTCCATCATTTTTGGCCATTTTGGGGCAAAAAGCATGGACTATAGCTCATGGTTTTGACAGATTTTCACACTTTTTGGAAAAATATGTGTCATTAAAAAAGGGTGTAAATGCCATCATTTTTGGCCATTTTGGGGCAAAAAGCATGCACAGTAGCTCATAGTTTTGACCGATTTTCACCGATTTTCACACTTTTTGTAAAAATATGTGTCTTTAAGAAAGGGTGTAAATTCCATCATTTTTGGCCATTTTGGGGCAAAAAGCTTTTACTAGAGCAGATGGTTTTGATCTATTTTCACCGATTTTCCCATATTTTGGGAAGATATGAAGGATTTATGAAGGGTGCAACTTCAATCATTAGTTTTTTTGCTATATTTTGGGGAGGGAAAGCAAGACTATAGCTCATGGTTTTGTTCGGTTTTGACACATGTTCACACCTTATGGAAATATATGAAAGATTAATTGGAAAGTTTAATTTTGAACGAAGCATATTCAATCATTTTATGCCATATTTGGGCTGAAAGGATATACTGTAACCCATGGGCACTCTATCTCTTGGTTTTTTTGAATTTTGGTCAATTTTAACAAATGCTGGAAAGAAATGTATAAGTTTTTTAATGATGTTTTCCTCTACTTTGGTTACGCATACAAGAGGGATTATTTTAAATAGGATATGAAAAAGCTGCTACTTATTTAGTAATATCTGGCGTTTTTTTTTTTTTTTTTTTTTTTTTTTTNGTGAGACGTTACTCGGTTTAATCATCTCTTTGTCTTAACGTTAAATCTTCGAACAAACTCTTTTTTTTTTTTTTTTTTTTTTTTTTTTTTTTTTTTTTTTTTTTTTTTTTGCTAAAAATGGTGGATTAAATATTAAGATGTGAAAGAAAGATTGCCTTAAAAAGGTAAGGAAAAACCTGCAATAAGCTATAGAAGGAAAGAAAAAAAGGAAAAAAAAGAGGTAACATTATCCAATAAAAGGCGATTCTGTGACATATTTGGATTTCCTGTGGCGTAGCGCCTGTTCGGCTGGATAGCTTTAGGCGACGCAGATTGATCTTAATGATGTTCAAGTGCTAATGTCACCACCTCCGCATATGAAGGATAAGTTAAATAGCTTAATTTATTTGAATTTCCTGTTAAAGTAATCTCGTTTCTTTATAATATAGGATTAGCGTTCTAGAGAAATCGAGGATTTCCCAATATTTGAGTTGCCGTATTTTTTCGGATTAATTCTTTTGAAATTCTCTAATCTATGAATCTCATAGTAGCAAGTTTTTATATAACATGTTTTACATATATACAGTGTTTTTTTTAAGAACATAGATTCATCGGGAAAACCCGACATCGCTATATGTTTGATACAAGTATTCGGACCCAAGCAAGGAGAGAGGGGAGGGGAGGGGAGGGGAGGGGGGAAGTAATAGAGAAATGATTAAAGACAAAAAAGATAAAAAATAAACGATATGGATGAATAAAATAAATAAAATAGATAAATATCATAAGGCAGTGGGTAAGTGGGTTGAAATAGTTGAGCGTACGAGACATTAATATATGAGAATATTATGGATATGTATCGTAGATAGGTAGCAATGGTACAGTAAATGATAAAGTAGATGGTACAATATACATAAAAAACGTTATGAGTGAAGGCAACGTTACGAAACATGAGCTCATGCGTTGCGGCGGTGTGGTGATAATGATCATATATAGTACCAAAATACTAATGCTCTGGGATAGTCGTTCGATCTACCAAGTGTTTATCATCAGGCGTTAAGACACAAGATAGAGGTCAGTATTATTCAAAGCTTATTTCTTATACTCATTTCAAAACTTTGATTTGGGCCTTTCCAACCTACACAAGCTTTTTTCTCATATCTGATCCTAACATAGAAATAGATAAAAAATGTATAGCTAACCTGTTGCTCAAAATAACTACAATTTAGACCTAATTATTTGATAAGAGTTTATGGATTTCCCACGTAATTCAAGATCGAGCGGACTGATCCGGACTTACCTCTAATTACACTTACCTCTAATGTTTTTACAAAGACTTCCGAGTTCAGTTCCAAAAAGAGAACATTTTCTCAAAAAAAAAAAAAAAAAAAAAAAAATTATCTCCTCTTTGTTTACTTTTCCCTGTATGTTTTTCATTAAAAAGCAAAATTGAAGGGGGGGATGATATAAGGTTCTTGGATTATCGGTGACTGCATGGTACTCACCCGAAACCCATTCATTATCTTCATATTCTTATCATCAGCCACGCGCTCTCTTTCTTCTCACCCCTCAAAAGTAATGCCAACGGGGGAAATGAAATTATATTCTATTCCAATTTTGCTGAGTGGCTCATTCCCTTGAAACATTCCTCACCTTCAACCACCAGAACTCCTCCACATGTTCTAAATAGCAACTTCCTTTCGGAACGAGTAAACATTAATTACGGTATACTGTACATTCTGTCGTTTTTATCTTAAATAGTTATCTTAATTTTTTTCCATTGAGGAATGAAGATCAATTTAAAGGATTTATTAAAATGCTAGTGGCTTTTGAAAAGCCGAAGAATATGTTGCTACCGTCCCTTTGGTTCCCTTTTATAAAGTAGTTTCTCTTTTTAGGTTTAAGAAACTGTCATTGTGATGATAAATGGAATTTTTGCTGAAATACGAGATTGGAACAGACATTCTGCGACCTGAGTTTCCCTTTTCCGGGCTCGTAATTTCAATGGTAGGATTTCTTGTTGTATGTGACCGGACGAAGGTCTCCTTGACCGCTTGACGAAACGTACTACTGAATATCAAGTACAACAATGGGTTGATAGCAGCATTTGTCCGTATTAAAAATTCCCCCATAAACAAGACTTCTCGGTTGTCTTGGATTTCTGAAAAGTAGGCCAAAAGAGTCAAGATTTGGAGAGGAAGCCAGCAAATGATAAAGAAAAATATGACAGTAATCAGCATAATGACAACTTTACGTCTTGATCTTAGCAAGTTGATCTGTGTTTGACGACCATTGCTTGAAGAACTTTTGCCAAACCACAAATGCCTTGCAATCAGGGAATATAAGACCGCTATGGTTAAAAAAGGTACCATGTAGATAACTATAAAGTCAAACAAAGTGTAAATACGACTACCAGTTTCTTCGTCAAATATTGGAGACCACTCTTCGTAGCAAAAGCACCCAATGTTATCTTGGCCAAGTTGGAATGAATAGATCAACGGAGATGATGTTACGAAACTTATTAGCCATATAGCAATAACGACTCTTTGAAGAACTACCATGTTGATGATGTCTTTCATGGGTTTAGTGATGGCGAAAAACCGATCAAAAGCTATGGCAGTCATTGTCAGTACTGAACTGGCCATCAAGCTGAATACAGAGAAATTGACAAACTTGCAAAGAAATGACCCCAAGGTACCTCCAACGAGCAAGCCATAGCCAGCAATACCAAGGATAAAGGGAGGCATCGATATGAAAGTGAAGAGGATGTCACTGACTGACATGTTTACGATGAGGTAAAATGTCGTGGTTTTCATTCGAGGAACACGGCAAACGGCAAGTATCACCAACAGATTCCCCAGAAGACCAGCAACACCGACCACACTACACAGTGTTATCTTCAGACCACGATTAAGTTGAGAAATATCATTCGATAGAACACCAACATAGCTGTTATTTGAAATGTTTGGGCTGACAAACAAAGACAACATCTTGGGTAATTCGTGGCTTCGATTGAGAGCAATAAACTATAGACTACTCCCAAGCCGAGTCTAATAACTTTGTTATGTGATCCAAGTAATCTGGTCTATATCACCCTTGATAGCGAAATGCAATCATTTCTGATCATGTAACAATGTAATGAATTCAGATGTTTTAGAGCTATATAACTCGCACGTGCTCCTTTTTACTTCCTCGACCTATCAGAGTGCATCCTTTTAGCTAATTACCAAAACACCTGCAACCGTACAGTAATAACTATATCGATGCCCTAATAAAAACACTACAGGCTCACATCTAGATCTTCCCGACAAAAAAGAGCCCTTCGATAAAATTGGAGTATATTCCTGCTTGAAATATTTGATTTGCCTTTGGAAAAAATTTTGACCTTGTGAAGTCCATGCATTTTCCTATTGTCTGAATATATTAGAGTTTTAGATTCAAGTTCACGGCAAACGTGAAACGTCAGTTGAACAGTAAAAAAATCATCTTAAATTACTGAAAAAGAATCGCAAAAAAGTCCAAGTAGTAGAAAAACAAAAGAGTATTTGCGCTTGGTGAGAAGGTTTGTAAAAGGTAAAGTAAAATAAAGGAAAACTATGAAAACGTGGTCACGTTTGCCGTATGCGGGGAGAACAAAAAGTCAATCTAAAACTCTCTAATAATTTATCTCATATTCGTGAATGTTTTATCCTTACATCTGTTACATGCCATTAAAACGCCTAACGCACTCAACATCATGAGTCGTATATTTAATTATTCAGATCGTGGGCTTGAAGTAACACGAACGTATCCTAAATGGTTCAAAGGAATTATCTTTTTACTTGGTTATAGGTTTTTGTGCTTTTGTAACACCTTGCTCTCAGTCCAGTTCATTTCCTTCAAATTAATACTCGCGACAAACACAATAGACAGGAGAGATCTTCCCCCCAAAATAAGATAACTAATTAATGATGCTTCTTCTAAAATTCAAACTCTATTGCACTTTTTAAATTAGAGAAGAGAAAGAGAAAGAAGATTGAAATTGTTTATGTTCACGCCAATGAGATTGTTCAGGAAAAGGATCAATCTAACCGAATGTTCTTTCAAACGCAGTTAATGAAATAACTCACAAAGATTTTTTTAAAAGGACTTTTCTTTCTATTAGGAATCTTCTTTCTATTACACATGATATTTCTATTAGGCCTTTTTTCTATAAGGGATTTTCTTCCTTTTAAGCTTTTTTTCTAATAGGTTTTTCCTTTCTAATAGGGATTTTTTCTATAAGACTTTTTCCCGATCATTTTATTTCTTTTTTTCTTTTCTTTTCTTTTCTTTCTTTCTTTCATATTTTCTTTGTTTGTTTCTTCCTTTTTTTAAATTCTTTGATGGGTAAGACGGCAAGCAGTTCCAAATTTTTACATCATCGATAATCATATCGGAAGCCGAGCTTTGTTTTAGTCTGTCCGATCTGTGTTTGGCTTAGGAAGTGTTAATTTGATCCAAACCTCTTAGATCATAATGTGTATAACTCACTAAATTGTAATCAGTTATTAGATATGAAGGTGCATTATTAATCATGATATTATACATCGTACAAGCCTTATGCTTTGCCCGCCTTTCAGCAAGCTTATTCCAGTTAAGGGTTTTAAGGATGTCAGCCGATCTTACATCATTATCTGATCGAGTGATAACTCTAGCTGCACGATTACGTAGTTTTTGAAGCCTATCGGATAGTCCTTTACAATTACCCCAAAAGTATCACAATAATCAAACTAGGGTAAAACTAAAGCGTTATAAATCATAAGCAAAGTATTAAATGTAACAAAATAACGAACTTGTTTTAGCGCACCTATCCCCATAGACACCTTTTTTGCTATGTTATCGACTTGATAGGACCATGACAGAGGTTTGACAATAAGAACGTCGGTGGGCATTAGCATGCAGTACCTTGAAGGGGGGAATGAAGGGAAATGAAGGTGAAAAGCTCGTCTTAAATTAAAACAACTCATTGCTTCCGAAATAAAGATTAAACCCGAGCTCGGGAATTATAGCAGTAAAGGAAACGGTTCGCGTATCCACAAGTTAGTTAAAAAATATGTTGAAGGCTTTCTTCATCAATTAACCCCAAGACTTTTTAGATAGAAGATATTAAGATAGGGGAAAAAAAAATTTTTTTTTCTTGCCTTAGTCCTAATATGAATAAATTCTAAAAACAAATGGAAACTGCATAGGACTTGAAAACTGTTTTATTTAGATTTTAATTGCAGAATGCAAGGGAAAATTCAAAGTACATCTACACTTATTTCATTAAACGTTGTCATTGCCAAAGTTAAATGGCGATAGGTCATTCCGCCATGGAAATGGTATCCTTGAATACAAAGAACATTAAATCAGTCTCATCATTAAGGTCCATTTCTTGACGAGAATAAGAAGCAGAAACAGAAGTCTTTCCAGCTATTCTTGGATCTTGGAATGACCTGCTCCTATAGCTTTTCGCCTATCGCCTATCGCCTATCGCCTTTGACGATGACAACGTTTATTAAAACAGGTGCATATCATAGGATATAAGGGACTTTTGAAAGTTAAAGGACTTTCAATAGTATCAGTCGAATTTCCGATCGTTTCATATCTAAACTTTCACAATATTTTTCAAAATCTCCGTTGAATAGAAGCTTTGCACCATCACGTGAAGGCACCAATGAAGGAGGCACAACAATAGTGTATAGGTATTTCCTCCATAGAGACTGAATTCGTTCTCGCATGTAAACTAGATTCAATTTTCCTTGCCTCCTATCATGGCTGTCATCACGTGATGGTGCATACAGTAGTGAAAATTACCTTCCAAAACAGCTACAGAAAGGGATTTTGGAAGGTCGAAGTCATGCTTGATGCCTCGTATTACATCTTTGCATGCATTATAATTGGGTGCATATGAAGTACACTTCCTCTTTTCTTCATCGATTGGTCAAAGTGGAAGCAATTGCAGTACGGACACTCGAAACTTGATCACTTTGAGGGGGTTTTTTTTGGCATTTTTTCATAACTATCCAATCAGTGCTATCTATAAAAACAAAGGAATCAAGCATTTTTAGGCGCCATCCAATCACAACAGAGGGCGGAAAATCTAAAGATGTTTTATGAAACGTGAACAGTTGTCGACAAATGCAGCCCAATTTTTGACCGAATGAACACAAAATCACTGGGAAATAGATTGGGATTTTTTACACGATTGATTAGCAATTTCGACCTATTTTCTCACAAATCACGACATGAAACTCGGCAACTAGCGTGTGCCAATAGTGAAGTTAGAGTGGCAAGAATTTAAATTGATATTGCAAAATGTTAATAATGACATTGGTTAGCTATTTTCATGTTTCTACGATCATTAATCAACAATCTCCAGATTTCTCATCGTTTTTTTAGAGTTCATTGCAGACTCATTAAAAGAATCTTCGTACATTTTTTATCGTTTAATTTCATCAAAGCTCAAGATATTCAGCCAACGTCTGGATTTGTCTCATGAGGAATATAATAAACACGGAACTGAAAGCATTAATGTAAATAAACCCTTTTGTTTGCATAGGAAATCATATGGTTTCCTGTACAATTTGGAATAAATTTGAACGACGAGCCGTAGGGGAGAGCAATGAGCTCTTAGAAAACCCATGAGTTTAAATTTATTCCAAATTGCACGAGGAAACCATGAGTTCCTTTTGATAATATACATGGAAAAATTGTTAAGGAAAATGGAGTTTTTACCACATTTGTGAATTTTCTCGCTTTCTGATTGGTCTAGAGCCGGGGGAGATAGGTGGACATACCAAATGATAAATTATGCCAGCAAATCACGCGCGCCAGCTTGAAACCGTTTTTATTTGAAATTTTAACCTTGTTTTCGTAGTAAAATTGTTAATTTTCTGTGGTTTAAAAAAATCTCATCCAGTTTTTAGTGGTATGTCCTTTTATTTATTCCTTTTTTCGTCATCTAGAAGTCAAAATATGTTGTGCTACGCCTCGTGAGTCCACAACATTTTAAAGACTAGATGACGAAAATCGTGGTAAATAAGAGGACATACCACGGAAAACTCGAGGAAATTGGTTATTTTTTGCAAAGAAGAAGAAGCAAAAATCGCAAGAAAATACTATGAGCGCGCGCTTGATGGCGTTATGATGGCGTAAGAAGCGAGCCCTCTTCAACCAAAAATGTATGTAACATCAAAAAATATAAGATTTTGATGCTCAGTAATGTTAACAACAGCAGAATTAAGAAAAGTTTGATTTTAAACCCGTTTTTGAAAACTTTTAAAATTTGCACTGCGTTTCCTTTTTTCTGCACTAAATTTTCTTTTTTCTGCACTGTGTTTCCTTGAAGCACCACTGCCCTTAGCCCTTTTTTCATGTATATTATTATCTGAAAAATTCGCCATCTTCCATACTGGCATCGGTCAACGGTCAAATGTAAGGTATTCAGATAGGCCTGAAGGGTTTAACAGATCAAAAACTCTTTGTAACTAGCGTTCAGCTTCGATTGAGTGCTCTTTATTTGACCAGTAGGCCGCTGTATATAAGGTGATGAATTGTTTATTCGTAAAAAAGTCTTGCATTGGAAAAGTGTCCCCCCTTTTTTTGTTTGTGTTGCATTACTTATTGATATGAATTCTCGAAAGTTAAACGAAAGGAGATTTATAAAGTAGATAAAAGGGCTATTTCAGATATTTTTGATAAGTCTTAGCTGTGGATCCCTTGTGTAATATCCTGTATTTCCTGGGTTGTATGTATAATGGCCAGCGGAATTTTGTAACAGCATATTCTTACAATAGCATCGGAGCAGTTTGCCATTATTGTTATTGTCGGTGTCAAGAAGAGGATAAAGAACTGGGCAATCGCTTGTTGGACTGATGTTATCACTGCACCACTTCTCTCTTAACTTTTGTGTTGCAAAATCTAAAAATAAATGAATAAATTAACGAACGAATAACTAACTAAATAACTCAATAACTCAATAACTCAATAACTCAATAACTCAATAGCTCAATAGCTCAATAGCTCAATACCTAAGTAAGTAACTAACTAATCGACTGACTGACTGACTGACTGACTGACTGACTGACTGACTGACTGACTGACTGANAACTAACTAATCGACTGACTGACTGACTGACTGACTGACTGACTGACTGACTGACTGACTGACTGACTGACTGACTGACTGACTGACTGACTGACTGAATAAATTTCAGATCTCGGACCGAGAACGTTTTTTGAACTCTTACCAGGCAATGTGCAAGAAGAACCCTCCACCACAGTTACGGTGCCATACAATTTGCTCCTAAAGCTGCTCCAGGGGACCACGTTACCTTCAAAGTGGGAAGCACCTCTGGCCATTTCTTCAAACGAAAGTGCGACTGCGTCAAAGTTGTCCCAAATATTAAGGTGGCCAAGGAAACCTAGGTGTTGAACATGCAGATAAATTCAGAGTGAGTGACTATAAAAACTTAAAATGATAAGATCGATCAAGCACCAAAAATAATATATACATTCAAAAATTTTATTCTGAAGTGAATTCCACTCGATCCGTTTAAAATGGGAAACAATCTCTCAAGTTCTACTAGGTCCTGTACTTATGATATCTAAAGCATTGATACAAAAAATATAGACTCACCAAAGAACCTATTCATTCCACGATCAATACAAAAAGGCATAGTTAGAACTCTGATATAGAGTTCACCTAGACCCCTCACTTACCCAGACTCTAATCAGGGACATTGGTTTAATACTAGACGAACTTGAGTACGTAATGATGAGCAAGACTCGATGACTCCCAAACAGAGGAACCGAGACCGCCTCACTTACCCAGAAGCTCTAATTTAGGACATTGGCTTAATACTAGACGAACTTGAGCACGTAATGATGAACAAGACTCGATGACTCCCAAACACAAGAACTATGGACCCCCCACTTACCCAGAAATTCTCATTTAGAACATAGGCTTAATACTAGACGAACTTGACACGCAATCACGAACGAGATTCAATGACTTAAGATAGTGTCTCAAAGTTGACTGATGATGATGATGAAAACTCTAATATAGTAGCATTAACGGTATTTCAGAATCTGGTGTACAGCATTTAGTTGAAAATTTATTAATCATCGTTCCTCTTTTCCAGACTTGTATGGGGCGAAATCAATTATATGTTTAAATGCATTATGCTTTATTCCGGTAAAGTTAAGGTCCGTGGAATTCCCAAATGTTTCATAGTTGACACTGTGCGTGCATTCTTGACTATACCGTTTGCATTTGTGAAGATTGATACATTGGAATGTCGCTAACCCTAAGTGAATCTGACATAAAAGAAAACAAAGGTATTTTAAGAATTGGTGAGGCATTGTGCTTATCACTACAGACCTGTCAAAGCCTGACTAGCTGAGAAACCTCCTTTATGGCTGTCCACCTCCTGACCAAGGACGAGATACCCGCCTCCAGGAATAGTATATCCGGTCACAAAACCTGTTAGTGACATCAGTAGTTTCCCATCTTTATACAATTCTGTTAGGCCGTCAGTGTTTCTCCATCTCCAGCAGAAGTGAGACCAACCGCCATTAAATGTTACAGTGCTACCGTACCTAGAACAACAATAATCCGACCTCTTGATTGCGTGATTGTAAAAAGGAAAAAAAACCTTTCATCCCGGGGGGTGGGGTGGGGACTCCGAGAAAAAAGTACCGGGGATACTCGTCGGAAATTTTCAAAAAGACCCCTAAAAGATACCGGAAGTCTTTAAAAAAGGGCGTGGCTGAATGATTTTTAACCCCTAAGAGATACCAAAACAAATAATACTAAATTTTTCATAAATAGCGCCTAGGATAAGCCATATCGATGCGCGCTTCTCTCCTTTTCCGACACTCTAAGAGATAGCAGAAAATGCTGATTTTCAAAAATTTGCATTTAACACCCTAAAAGATACCAAGTCGCGAATTTTTACCCCTAAGAGATACGACGAGCATCCCCGGTACTTTTTTCCCGGAGTTACCCCCCTCCCGGGCCTTTCATAGATTTATGAATTATTCTATAAAGGGGTGCATCCATTGGATGTGGAGAAGGGGATTTCAGGGGGGTCGAGGTGAAGGATCAAGGAAGGCGTGGGTGGCGTAGCGTGGGCGCTTGCCTCTCATCAGTATTAATGTGACGCTCGGGTTCGATCTTCAGACTCGGCGTCGTATGTGAGAAGTAGAGTTTGTTGATTCTCTCCTGTGCATCGAGAGGTTTTCTTCGGGTTCACCGGCTTTTCCTCCCTTCGCAGAAAATCAACTTCTAAATTCTAATTCAATTTATCGGTAGCTTCATTAAGTTGGGTTGCAAAAACTGTTAGGCTTTCCGGCGTCCACCTTGGATGGGTAAATCCGATTAGATTAGGATTCACCCTTTTGGAATTTCAAATAATGCCAATGAAAATAAAAAAGAATCAACCTATCACACTTCCAGGTTTTCTTAACTGCTTCAACTTCTTTTCTCTCTACTTCTATCCCCCTCTGCACCTTATGTAACATAGGTCATTTGAGATGTAGCAATTTGAACCGTAAAACTCCTTAGGATAACCAGCCCCTTTCACTCCAGGCCTTGAAATTAATGGTACGGTTCCAACTCCCCTTAGATATCATTGCTACATAATCCATCATAATCCTTGTTAATCAGTACTTTAAAACCAAGAGACTCTCTTGTTAAAAGTTGTGTAGTTATTTATAGGACAGGATTTCAGTTCCACTGGGAACTTAAAACTGCTGCAACGGTGATTGGCTCACTATTTCCCGAATCGTAATCAAGAATTAAAAGGTACAATATAATGTTGGCTTACTTCCATTTTTCGTTGATACAAAAGGATGCGTCACTAGTGGAGATAAATGTTGCCCATTGATCTGCCAGTTCTGGTGTGCTGTACGCGAAAACCCCTCCCTTATTCGTAGGCCACAACCAGTAGCAGGCTAAAAACTGAGTCACGCTTGGAATAGGATTTTGAAATTCGACGTAGTTACTGGCGGACTGAGTTGATCCAAAATCGATGTAAAAATCGGAATTACCTGTTGTTCAGTTAAAGGATTATAAAAATAAAACCAATTGCATTTTTTTAGCATTTCATATTTAAATGGTACTTAGAGTGATGACCTTTTGGTTGTGATGTCCGGTTGACGTTGGTTAGTAGTAAAGGTTTTAAAATGGGCTTGTGGATATTTTGCCGGTGTTTGTGGTGGTATAGTAATAAGTGCTGATTGTAGGTTGTAGGTTGTAGGTTGTAGGTTGTAGGTTGTAGGTTGTAGGTTGTAGGTT